GTCACGCCGAGCCATAGTGCAGCCAAACCTTCCCATCATGCTTCCGTACGCACATGTTTTCGCACACTGCCCTGGTAATCGTCGGTAATCATCATCACACTGTTCTCTGCGCCTCTCTTTTCCAGTGTCAATTGCGCCAGGCCTTGGGCAAGCACTTGTTCGACGCGCATTCAGGCTCATCTCCAGATCCGCGCGCTGACCGTTCTTTCACCCGTGCAGTGAATACAACTGAAGTCGGTCGACGGCGAGATCTTCGCCTTGTAAAACCAGTACTGGTGAGAAAGTGGTTCGTCTTCAGAAAGTAGACCTGATGGAGCCCAACTGTCGCTGGCCACCTCGAACTGGAATCGGTCGTTGTGAAACGTGCCGAAGATTTCATTCATCGTACGCAACCAGATTTTGCTCGTCATCTGACGAATAAGAGCGTTTTCACCGTCGTCATCGTCCTACTGTAGCAGGAGAAATTTTTCCGAGTTATCGTAGCGCTGCGTTATCATACGTATGTCGTATTTAATGCAGCGTCGCATTTGCTGAAACGGCTGAAACCGCTGACCATTGGTTACCGTTTATCTGCATGACCTCAGCGAGTGACTCAGCTTATCTGCCGCTGCACATAAGGGCGGACAAAGTTCTCTTGACAAATCTAAAAATTGGGGGCGATCCCATTATGTGGCTTTGAATTGCTCTGACCCGTTGTCAAAGGATTTCTCCGCTGATACCTATCGACCTCGACAATGCATTGTGCACTGACCCAAACGTCGTTATCTGCGCACTCTCTGACCACTGACCATTTCTCACGCTGTTTTATTGCCTATTCCTCGCGCAACGCCACGCTATCTCCTCCTTGATGACAGTGACCGGTGGATCGAAGCGCTTTTTAGCGTTTGGTCACTGCCATGGACGCTGGACATCGTTGGTCAGTGACGGTGCTACACGGCGCTAGCAGCTGCAGTGTCGCAACCGGCTGACTACGTTATGGTCAAAAAGGCGCTGTTTTTGAAGTCTTCAAGTCACGCATCGTGACCATTCAGAGATTCACTTTCCATGAAGTTTCTCTGGGTGGCCCACTTTCGCAGTCGTCGTCAACCGACTCCGTCGTCTTTCGAGGCCGCGTGCTCGCGCTGTTTATTAACGCTTAATTCGTTTTAGGTAAAACACGCAGAAGATGAACGTCATTACTGGCGCCGTCGCTTCCCCTGATCATTGATAAGTCAGCTGCAACCTCAATTTTCCATTCGACTCCGGCTAACAGTTCAGACGTTTGGAGTCCTGAACAGATCCTCGGTGAACTGTCTTTATACCGAGGAAGCTCGGCGCCGGCGCGCACCATTGTCAACAGCCTTAGTGCCGAGCCCATTCACTCCATGCAAGCGGGCGTGGTGCACTTTATGACCGCCTTGAAAATGGAGTATCCACATCATTCAGATGCTGAAAACGGTCCTACAGTCGTTTTAGGTCCCGCTAACGGCGGACATGACTCGGTCGGCATGCACCCTCAGCACGTGGAGGTGATAAAAACGGCCGGTCACGTCGCGTCGCTGCAGAACTCAAACCAACACCACCACCTTAGTCCCAAAGAAGACATCCAAGGTGCCAACGTGCTTCAGGTCAGTCACAACAACAGTCACCTGCTTGTCTGCGTTTGCTGCTTCGTCAGTCACGGCTAGTAAACCAGCTAGAAATAATGCTCTCGCAAAAGGCAACTGCCCATGAGTTGGCTCGAAGCCTGATAAGCTGAATTGAACTAATGCTGCTGCATAAATTCATATTTCTCATTTTAGACTAAAACTAACCTGCCGTTATTTCAGGATAAAAAAATAAGCATAAATTTTTAGTTAAACAGGTGAATTTTCAAATCGAAACGAGATAAGTTTCAGAATACTGAATGGTAGGGTCGCTCACTAACAATATCAATATTCTTCCCTCCAAATAAGCTTTATTCCAACTGTACACAGTTTACAATAATTAAGCACTAAAGTACATTAGGTGTCTTCCAAAGAAGTTTCAAGTGTAACGAAGTACTGATGTGAACTCAATTTTCATAATTTACTTGAGGAAACACTTTTGTTTATATTCAGTTAATAGTTCAGTCAATCATTCAGTCAGTTTCGATGAACGCTTATCCGTTTGGATTGCGAAGCCAGGTTGACTGCGTCTCCAACGTTCTTTTGTCAGCGCTGCGGCAGAAGATAACCCGAATCAGGAGCAGCATCCTTTCAAATGCTTGCTCCATGTATTCTAGTCCGTTCCGGGGTTTTTGGCCACTCTATTTGGCAAGTCGTAGCTGTTTAGCCTTTATTTCTGAAAACATTCACAAGAGGTTTCCAAACCATCGCAGCTCTGAGTTCTCAATCTGGAGAAGCAGCGACTGCATACCAAGATTCTCTTGAATATCAGTACTCTGAACCATGTCGAGACGCTTCATCTCTGCCATTCATTTCAGCGGCCACTTGTTCCCGGGAAAGAAGTTTTTCAGTCGTGGCCCACGACTCATGGCGTAAGCGATTATTGGGATGATGGTCGATTTTAGCTCAATAACCTCTTCAGACTAAGCTCTGATTTTGTCAGAGCAGTTTTGGCCAGTTCACGCGGAACACCGCTGACAATTTCGTTTGCCGGTACATCGCTTGGTCGCATTTTCCATCACGAGAAAACTCGACCCCGATGAATCTGAACTTCTGTACCTCGTCCATCTGCAGAGCGCAACGGGCAGAAGAACGAGAAAGCACGAAGCTTTTCGTTTTAAGCACGTTTGTGCCGGCCACGCCGCACTGGAGGGAGAACTTGCCCAGAGATCGCTGTAGATCAGTTTCAGACGATACGAACGAAACAAAGTATTCTGCAAGGAGCAACCTACTCTTCTCCACATCCCATACACTATGCATTCATCGTCCAGGCTGCGACTGGTCACGCCATCCATGTACAACACAAACAGAGGAGGGGACAGAGACCAGCCATCGCAGAGACAAGTGCCAATAATGAAGGGTCTCGACTTAATGCCGTTTATTATGACGCGAAAGCTGCTACCAACGTGTAGTGATTAGATGGCTACTAACAATTGGCTGTCCATTCCATACGCTTGCAGGAGCATCTATGGCTTGATGCATAGGATCTTGTTATGGGCCTTCTCGAGGAGCACAAACTATATGTTAGCTGGATCATTGAACTCTCACAATTTCTCAATAATATGACGTAAAGCGAAAATTTGATCACAGGTGCTTCAGCCTGACTTGAAGCCGCACTGCGTTTCGTTTATCCTAGAGTACGTTATTTTGGGTTACCTCTTTTCTGACAGCTTCGCTTAGATGTTTCCCAAACGGCTCAGTCGAGTAATGCCTCGATAATTGGAACATTCTCTATGGTCTCACTTTTTAAACAAAAACAGAGGTACTACGAACAGCGTTCTACAGTCCACTGGTGTCTTCCCCGTAACTATTGCACTTTCACAAACACATGTTTGCCATGCCATGCTCAATATATATTAGTAAATACATATTGCACGATAAAGCACATAACATAACAAATAAAACAGTTAGTTAGGCACTGTAACGCTAATGGTGCATATGTAGTAAGTTGAGTTTCTGGCACATCTTCTCCTGTCTATTCATTTGGTTGCTGATTTTTCTCACTATTGCGGCTTCAGATATCTTCCTTTTTCTCCAGTATCTCTCTCTTCGAATTATCCTTCTGG